TTTTTAAAGTTAGTTCTAGAAAGAGTGCATATTTCTTAAAGTTTAGAAAAACATACAAGTTTAGTATCTTTTATCTGAAATGCTTAAAATGAAAATTATTTCAGATTTTTGAGGTCTCATTTTCTTTTTTGTTTTGTCTTTTAGAATTTTTGCATAGACTTCATAATTGAGCATCAAAAAGCTGAAATATCCCAAAATCCAAAACCTTTTTAAGCATTCTATCAATGCTGAAAACGTTTTAGATTTTGATTTTCAAATTAGGAATGTTCAACCTATAATATAAGAAAGGCAGTACCTCTTTTTATGAAACATTTTATAAATTTCTTTTCCTAAGAATGGGATCCTGCAGAAAACCTAAAGGTGTAATTAAATCTTTAGATCCATGAATGGTTTTTAACTTTTTAGTATTTATTTTTGTTTTTTGAGACAGGGTCTCACTGTGTAGTTCAGGTTGGTCCCAAATTCGCCATGATCCTCCTCTGTCAGCCTCCCAACTGCTGGATTACAGCAAATGCGGGTGGAGTGAGCCCAAAATTTTCATGTGATTTGAAGATACGTTATAGAGACTCTGGAAGCCACTGTCGGTCTCTGAAGCATTTCTTTGTGCACCATATGGAATACACACGGGGCTGGATTCATAGTGATGTAACCTGGCACAGCATTTACTTTGTCAGGATGTTTGCTAATCATGTTTATGTACAAGTGTCTCCTGTGTTTCTTTTAGGTATGTAAAAGAAGGAGATACAGTGTCTCAGTTTGATAGCATCTGTGAAGTTCAGAGTGATAAAGCTTCTGTTACCATCACTAGTCGTTATGATGGAGTCATTAAAAAGCTCTATTATAATCTAGATGATGTTGCCTATGTGGGGAAGCCACTAGTAGACATAGAGACGGAAGCTTTAAAAGGTATTGTAAACATGTTCATCTGTCTTACCAAAATGCTTATTGCTGTCCTTTTGTCACTGGGTCTTAATGAAAAGTGATCTTTACTTTTAACAACTCATAGGATTAGACATTAGGATTTAGAAGACATAATTAGGAAATAGATGATTCTCTGTGATACAGGATTTTCTTTTATTTTTCTTTTCCTTTTTTTGAGATAGGATCTTGCTATGAATCTTAGGTTGGCCTTGAACTTACTGTGTAGCCCAGGCTGGCCTCAAACTTACAGTCATCCTCCTGCCTCAGTCTCCCAAGTGCTGGGACTGCTGGCGTGTGCCACCACGCTCAGCTCATGATTGCTTTTGACCAGTTAATAAGTTAAAAATATGTAAAGTAAGATTTCATTTATCTGGAGTCCTGCCATCTGGAAACCTTAGTGTTCGAGGAATTAAGGATTCAGGTCCTGGGCCTGGGATTTAGCTCAGTGGTGCTACTACCTGCCTCTCAAGCACTAGGTCCTGAGTTCCATCCCCAATACCAAAAAAAAAAAAAAAAAAATTTCAGGTCCTGAGCATTGGTCACTAAGAACAATGGAGTATGCAAAAATCCAAATAATAGGCTTGCTCTGTTTGACAGTTGGATTAGCCATCTTTTCATTACCGAAACAAAATACCTTACATAGACTACTCACAAAGAAAAGGAGTTTAATGCAGCTCACAATCTTATAGGTTCAACGTTGAAGATCAGGAAGCCCATTGGTTTGGCATTTGGTGAGAGTGGCAGATGGCAGTACATCATGGCAGGAACATGTGTGTGAACAAGCAGTCACATTGTGAACAAAAAGAGAGAATTCAGGGATAGCAGAACTACCTTCTGAGAGTATGCCCCCCCACCAGTGTCCTAAGGACTGGACCCCGTGAGCACTTCTCAGTATTGCCAGCCTGTACCCACACCTCTAATCACAGTGGACCCCTGGAGGACATTCAAATTACACCAAACCATAGCAGCTGCTAGAATCTGTCTGTCTGTCTGGCTGACTGTCTATGGAAAATAATAGGTGGTGGTTATGAAAGCCAAACTTCTTCAAGAAAAATATAAGCTGAAAGAAGGAAAATCAGTGAATATGAGGAAGCCAGCATTCAGCAAAAGCAGCAACCATGGACTTTACAAGTTGTAGATGTCATGACAAAAAGGGATTCATTATGAGGTTGCTGCAGAGGAAAGCTAAAATAGTGAGCAGTCCCATTGGTGGCGGATATCTGGCTCGCTAGCTCAGAAATTCACCTAGTCATGTCCTCTAGGAATAACTTTGATAAGCAGGAACTGGAAGAGTAGTAAGTTCTGTGGTGGAACTGTTATGCTAGCATCCACAGCTCGTGAAATATTTTACACTATTATTTTATTTCGTCTTTCCCTTTGAGGAAATCTAGCTTAACAGATAAAGAAATAAACTCAGCTAGAAAGTTTGGGCTCTTTGCTCAATGGTCAGTGGCAGAACCAAATTAAGTACTCATTTATGTTTTTGCAGTACTGGAGATTGAACCCAGAGCTTCATGTATGCTAGGTAGGCACTCTGGCCATGAGCTACACCCCAGATCCAACAGGGCCGAATGGAGAACTTAGATGTCTTGATCACACAGTAGATTTTTCACTATAATGTCACCTCAAAAAGTGAGAAGATAGCTTTTTGAAAGTTTTCATAATTTAATTTTTATTACTATAAAAGCAAGATATGTGTACTATATAAGTTATAAAATATATTAAAACCAAAAATCAGAAAGTAAAAATACATGTTTCTTTACCCAGAAATCACCACCACTTAACAAGTAAGTCTGTATCATTCCAGACATTTTTCTAGGACATATATACACATATCGCTTTTTTAAATACCAATATAAAATAATAGGTTGTACATGCTGTAATCCAATATTTGATTAGTGATAAATATGTCTTCGTGACAGTGCATTCTTATTTTGTCTAATTGCCAGGCTGTATGTTCAGTTTCTCCAGTTGTCCCCAAATGTCATTGAAATTTCAGTTGTTTTCCTCAAATTAGAATCCTGTGTATGACTTTGTATTGCACCTGTTGCTACATCTCTTGAGTTTCTTTCACTCTAGCTCATTCCCCCATGTTTTTTTTAATTAGAGCATAGGAACTTTATTTTGTTAATGTGCATGTGCTCTTTTTTTTTAAGAGTAGGAAAAATTTATTGAGGGAAAGAAAGCTTCTACGAGACAGAAGGGGGACTGGAAAGTGGGTTACCCACTCACCCTAATTTTCAACGATGTTTTATACAGCAAAGCCATGTGATGAGGTGGGCACAAAGTGGAACAAAACTGTGAGATCCAATGGAAAATTACAAGGTAGTCATGAAGTGGGGCAAAACCATGACCAACCAATAAGATTACAAGTAAAGTCACCCAGGTAATATTGATTAAGTGGGGGTCAAGTGGGGAAGCAAGTCCCATAGCAAGCATACAAGGATTTTCAGTAAGGGTGGGGGTCAGGGGTATTTCCTGGAAAGGCTGGGTTAAGACCTTGGCCCCCCACCCAGGTGATTGAAACCTATTTAGACTGCTATTTATCCCAGGGGAAGCACAAAGGTATAGTAGTTTTTCTCCTTTTACAATTGTGGCCTTCAGTGAATGAATACACGTCTTAATAAAGTATTTCAGTGGTGGACATTTTGGTTCCTTGCACTTAAAAATGCAGCTACACATCCTCTTATCTGTACATTTCCTGTTAATTGGAAGTGGGTTTTCAACACTGGATTTTAGTTAAATATTATTTCTAGAATAATTCTGATATTGTATACTTCTTCCTGCTTCCCATCAGGATACAGGAGACCAGAAGACATGCCATAGAGATCTGATTTTAAACACTGATGTAGAGACAAGGTTACCCCTCCACTGTGTGGTTTTGTTTTCCCTTTGCAGAGCGAAGGTTATCTATGTGGTGTTACCTCATCAGTATATAGGTAGTTTATAATATTTTTCAAAATGCTTTCTACATCAGCCATTACTTTAGTAGTTAGAACGATAATTTTTGGACTCTGTCTTTTCTTTAATGTTATTAGCTGGAATTATCCTATAAAGTGGAGACTCATCAATTGGGGCTATAGTTACTCTGCAGTGTAATTTCTACAGGAAAGACAATAAATACCTAAGTCTTTTCCTTTACCTATTTTCAAAATAAGGAGTTGGTATACAAAGCAGTTCAAATTGTAATACTCATTTTTCCAGTTCTCTCTCTCTCTCTCTTTCTCTGTTTTAATTGATGGCCTATTACAGTCATTAAGTTTTTTGATACCCAAATTGTTTTAGTGGTGATTCCTTCAAGCCAGCTGCTCCCCTGCATTCTTTTAACATGGCCCTGTTAACTTTTAGAAGCTTGTTTGTTTTGAGCCCAAGAAGTTCCAGGACTTGCCCTATATTTTTCCTGTCCCAGTGTTGGCATCCTCCGTTTCTTCAGAAGTTCTTTCTTAGTGTGAAATGCATGTGAGGCCATAATGTTGGCACTAAGGCTACTTCCGTCTTTATTCTACATTGATATTTTTATTTCCCCTCCTCTTCCTTCTTGTCCGTCTTCTTTTACCTCTCCTCTTCCTTCTACTTCTCTTCCTTCTTCTTCTTGTCCTATCCCTCTCCTTTCTCTCTCTCCCCTTGTCTCTCTCTAGTACTGCAGATTAAACCCATGACTTTGTACTAAGTTACATCCCCACCCCCTTTCATTTTGAGACAAGGACTCACTAAGTTGTTCAGGCTGGCCTCAAACTTGTGGGCTTAAGTGATGTTCATCCATCAACCTCCTGAGTAGCCTGGTTTACACACATACACCACTGTAGTCCAGCAAAAGCAGAGACATTAACAGGAGTACTGGAAATTAAGGGATGTGTTTAAATGCCAGTGATAATCTATGGTCCTAGCATGATCGCAGTCTGCTTTCAAGACTGGAATGCCATGATTATTCTGAAGATGGAAACTATTATTTGCGACCTCCAAGTCCTACATATGAGTGCTTTGGCTATGGAACAACCTCTGCTTGAAATGAGTTTATTGGAAGGATTGGGGATGTAGCTTCTCAGTGTTGCTGCACCTGCCTGGCAAGCTCAAGATCCTGAGTTCTATTCCTGTACCAGAAAGAAAAAAAAAGAAAGAAAGAAAAGAGTTAATTGGATTCACTTATACCAACTGTGTGGTATTTGGGAGGCATATACAATTTGTTCTTTCATATCTGCAGGCTCTGCATCCTCAGATTGGACCAGCCATAGATTGAAAAAATTCCTGGGGATGGGGTCTACATTTGGGCTGAAAATGTACAGATTTTTTTCTTGCCACTATTTCCTCAGCAGTGCAGTATAGTAGCTACGCAACAGCATTGAATTGGGTATTGTAAGTAATCTAGAAATGATTTGAAGTATATGGGAGGATGTATGTCAACTATATGCAAATATTATACCATTTTACACAAGGGACTTGATTATCCTGATGTTTTTGGTAGCTGCAGAAGGTCCAGGACTCCATCCATCCTCCATGCATACCAAGAGACAACTGTAAGAGGAGAAAATAGAATCTGATTAAGAGGAGAAAACAGAATCTGATTAAGAGGAGAAAACAGAATCTGATTAAGAGGCTAAATGTCTTTTTTTTTTTCTGGAGAAAATGTGTAGTTTTCATGCTGAGGCTGGGTGGCAGCTATTTTCAGTAATCGGGGCCTGCAGGATTAAATTACGGCGACAGTCTGCCACTGGGTAAGAGTGAAGTTATGTAGTGAAGTGAGGGGTCTTACTGCCACGGGTAAGTACCAAGGGAAAGAGGGAGGACATTGGTGTTAGATTACTCCATAAAACTAATATCATTCTACTTGATATTACATTTGTCCCTTAGTGTCAACTTTGTCCTTTACAGTGCTTTCTCTATGCTGGATCTACATTATTTCATTTACTCATGTAGATTATTATTTGCATTTGACACTAGCCACACTGAGACTCAGATTAAATAGCCTGCTTTGATTTTAGGTAGGGTCTTGCTGTGCTGTCCGGCTGTCCTTGAACTCTCAGTGACCTTCCCTCCTGTCTTCCAAGCGCTGCGATTACGGGCCGTGCCCCACTACTCTATACCCTGCTACTGTTTTAATAATTTGAAGTGAGAAAGAAAATGCAGTGGAATCTCATTACTTTAAATGGCATTAATTCTCAATTTATGATCATTTTGGCAGGAACCAAACTAAAGTTTACATTTGTGCTATGAAGAAAGAACTTCCAAACACACACGTGTGCTGTAGTATTTAACCCCACCCAATTTCCCCCCAGGTAATTGAACTGGACTACTTCATATAGTTCTAAGAAGTGATTTTTGAAATGCCAAGGCATATTACATTTTATATTTTTACAAATTTGGTTACTTTTTAACTAAGTTAATCTGAAATAATGCGGTTTATTATATATTTGTTTTAAGTCAGGATTTTTATCTGCTAAATTTATATGAGGCTTCCTGAGAAAAAGTGCTTATTTACCAACATTCTTTTGTTCTTTCTTACAATTTTATTAAAACTTTAAAAATGTACTCTGATTCATCAACAAAACTCACTCGTAGAAGACTAAATCTCATGTACTAGAGTGTACTACTACAACCATTAAAACCAATTTGAGAAAAGTGATGAAATTTAAGTTTAGTTTTAATTCCACACCCACAGTGTCCATTTCTACAATGGTAATTATCATCTTACCTATTTATAACACTTTTATGATCATCAAAAGGGAAACTGTGTAAAAATAATTTTCAAATTATTTGAAGTGCTATACATTAATATTATTGGTACATTTTTAGGATTATGACATCCTGATTTTCATTATTGGGAATTTGTACCTTTACATAAAATATCTTAGTTCTTCTTCTTCTTCTTCTGCTTTCTTCTTCTTCTTCTTCTTCTCCTCCTCCTCCT